CTCCCCACGGGCCGGCTCCCCGCCGGCCCCGCTGACTGGCGGGCCGGCTCCCCGCCGGCCCGGCTGACTGGCTGACCGGCTCCCCGCAGGCCGGCTGACCTCCCGATTTTCCCGGACATGCCCGGCTTTTGGGGATTTCCCCCCGGACGGGGATTTGAGCCCCCAAAAGCCGGACATGTCCGGGAAAATCCGGACGTATGGTAACCCTACATTACAGGCCTGGGGCCTAGGAGGCACAAGGCCACCGCAGCCCTGGCTTCTGGTGACTCTCTTCATGCCTGTTGGTTTTGGGTAGTGAAAACCTTTGCCTATTTCTTGAGGGGAGGAAGGCACAAACTGCTCCTTGTGGTCCCTGAATGGATGCAGAGGGGAAAAGGGTATGTGTATTTCTTCCATAGGGAATAATCTGGGCCAGAGTTATTAAGATGGTAGCTGCCATCTTTATATTTTTTCTTACTGACCCTTCCCTGAGTTGAGGAACAGCCCATCTCGCTCTCTTCCCCCCCCCTTTAAACGGTGTAATCTTAGGCTGTTTTGGATGCCCAAAGAATCCTTCTCTTTTCCTTCCGATTTCCAGGAGAAGCGTCCATTCCTAGCTCGCAAAGCTCTCGGAAAGCATTTGAGCCAGTAGGAGGCGGCCCATGCTATGAAGGAGTGAAAACAAGCTGTTTCAGTTAAGGATTCAGGGTACGTCTACACCGCAATAAAAACCTGCGGCACCTAGTCTGAGTCTGGGTCAGCTGACTCGGGCTTGGGGAGCTAAATATTGCAGTGTCGACAGTGGGGCTCAGGCTGGAACCTGGGTGGGGGGTTTCAGAGCTTGGGTCCAGCCCGAGCCTGAAAATCGACACTGCAAGTGGTAGCCCCACTGTCCGAGCCCCACGAGCCGGAGGCAGCTGACCTGTGTGTGCAGGAATTTAAATTTGATTGCTTTTGGCGGGATACGTTCTGTGACCCTGGGGCTGAAGGAGCTCGCTCTCCCTGCCACGGCTCCGGAAACAGAGAGGTTTTGTGCCCCTCCTGATTACTGGGGGGGGGGGGTCCGTGCCCCTGCTTGTCCCCCCTTGTGCATGCCCCTGGGCCTGGGCCAGGTACAGCCATGCCATGGGTCTTTTGCTGCAGTGTAGGCATTCTATAATTATAATAATTAATGGAGATATCCCATCTCCTAGAGCTGGAAGGGACTTCAAAAGGTCATTGAGTCCAGCCCCCTGCCCTCACCAGCAGGACCAAGCACTGACCCTGCCCCAGATCCCCAAGTGTCCCCCTCAAGGATTGAACTCACAACCCTGCGTTCAGCAGCCCAATGCTCAAACCACTGAGCTATCCCTCCTGGCATTCCCTCAATGTCCTACAAAGCAGCACTGGAACTGCCATGGGCAAGCTGGCAAACAATCAGGGGGAGCTTAGCGCTCCATGGGCTGGTTTCACTACACAGCTATAACCCCCCTAAAAACATTTGTTACAGACCAGGGTATTCCTCACAGGGGCCACTCATTGACACAAGAGAGAGCATGGGAGTGGGGGGGGGCAGGAGGGAGCAGGCAGTTTGCAACAGAGAGATGGTCACGGAGGGTCAGAGGTGGGAGCTGGCTACTGTTGGGCACGGTGGTGTGTTAGCTGGGGTTTCTGCACGTGGGACTGACCCTGTGCTACTTGACTGCAGGGTTAGACATTTCTCTCCAAAGTAAATAGGACTTGGGTGCATCCCTTCGGCTTTATGGAACTTTGGGCCATTTTTCAGTGCAGGGGCAGTGGGGCTGGGGAGCAGAGAGGGCTAGCAGCCCCATTGTGGGAATGTTGTGGGGGCTGATTTGTTTCCAGCCATGCTCAGCTTGGCTCCACTTCCCCAGCCCCACACCATCCAGTTCCAGTTATTGCCTCCCCATTGGCCCATTGCTTGGGAACTGAGAGCCAGTCCAGTTCTGGCCAGCCTCCCCCACCCATGCCTCCACCAATGAGGAGGCAGTAACTACGTGCATGCAGGTGGAGACGAGCAGGGCTGGAGTGACCACTGCAGCGCCAGGGAGCAGGTAGGAGCTGGGGTGATGGGCTCCTATCCCATCCCATGCAAGGCATTCTTCCGCCTCTTGTGTTCCAGGGGCAGAGGAGACTGTACAAATGGGATGGTCTGTATCTCGCAGGTAGGGAAGCTAATCTTGGGTGCAGACTAGCTGGAGCAGCCAGGAGGACATCAAGCTAGTAACCCAAGGGGAGGGTGCTAAGCAGGCAAATGAAGTTCAAACTTAGCATGTCGCAGACAAAAGTGAACCGGTGCAGCAGAGAATTTTTCAGGTACTCATATACCAACACTAGACATCTGGGTAACAAGCCAGAGGAACTGGAAATTCTCATTGATGAGAAGAAATTTGATGCAACCGGCATTACTGAAACCTGCTGGGTCGATTAGCATGATCTGAATGTTACAATCATTGGTTATAACCTGTTCAGGAAGGCTAGAGTGGGTAAAAGAGGTATGTGGGGCATGGCACTCTGAATTAAAGACACCTTTACCTGTTTTAGAGTTATTGATAACTCAGAACCACAGGATCTTGAATGCATGTGGATCCATGTGCCAACTACCAAAGCCCAGAGAAGGTAGGGGCGGGTTCTCTTACAATCCACTGAAGAAAGTGCTGATCAATTGGAGAGGGTCAGAGAAGAGCCACAAGAATGATTAAAGGGTTAAAAAACCTGCCTTATAATGATAGACTCAAGGAGCTCAGTTTGCTTAGTTAACAAGGAGAAGGTTAAGGGTGACTTGATTACAGTTTATAAGTATCTACATGGGAAATAAATATTTAATAACAGGCACTTGAATCTAGAACCCATTAGAGTTTTCTAGAGCAGTGGTTCCCAAACTAGGGCCGCCGCTTATTCAGGGAAAGCCCCTGTTGGGCCGGGCCGGTTTTTTTACCTGCCGCGTCCGCAGGTTTGGCCAATCACAGCTTCCAGTGGCTGTGGTTCGCCGTTCCAGGCCAATGGGGGCTGCGGGAAGCGGCCGCCAGCACATCCCTCGGCCCGCGCCGCTTCCCGCAGCTCCCATTGGCCGAGAACAATGAACCACGGCCGCTGCGAGCTGCGATCGCCTGAACCTGTGGACGCGGCAGGTAAACAAACCGGCCTGGCCCGACGAGCTTTCTCTGCACAAGCGGCGCCCCTAGTTTGAGAACCACTGCTCTAGAGAAAGGTATAATGTGATCCAATAGCTGGAAGTTGAAACTAGACAAATTCAGACTGCAAATAAGGTGTAAATTTTTAACAGTGAGGGTGATTAACTACTGGAACAATTTACTAAGGGTCACAGTGCATTCTTCATCATTGGCAATTTTGTAAATTAAGATTGGATGTTTTTCTAAATTATCTGCTCTAGGAATTATTTGGGGGGAAGTTATCTGATCTGTGATATACAAGAGGATTGCCTAGATGATCACAATGGTCCTTTTTGGCCTTGACATCGATTAATGAAACCAGAGACCAAGATAAGTCATTCCTTAAGCACCTGTTTCTAATGTATAGAAAGGAAAACTGTGTTGTTATGGGAAACTTCAGTATGGGAGAGAGATTCTGGCAGTTTCTTACAACCAAGAGTAAAACATTAGAGATTCTAAAAATAATAGATACTTTTCTATCAAAAGAGATATTGCACCCATCATCAAGTAACTCTCTTTTGAACTTCCTTATGACAGATAATGATGAAGTAATCTCTGGACTATAAATTGGTGGTTGCCTAGGGACCAGTGATCATGACCTGATTACATTCAACATGGAGGAACAGAGGCCAGTTTCAACTACTAATATATATATTAGGTGCTTCAAAGGGCATAATTACCCAGAACTGAGGAAAATTATAAGCAAATATGACTGGTAGGAAAAATATATACAGAAAAATGTGAATGGTATTGGGCGCTCTTTAAGAAGATTTTATTAAATGGTCAAAAAGCTATGATTCCATAATCAAGAAAGAGAAGGATTTTAGTTAAAAGGTCATACTGGTTCAGTTGTTAAATGAAGACAGAAATAAAAAAGCAACATAAAACACATGGAAAAAGGACAAATAAAAATCAATATAAATTAGAAGTTATGAAGTGCAGATAATTGATAAGGGAAGCTAAAAATATCAGGGGAAAATCATGGCTGTCAGAGGCTAGGACAAAAAAGATTTTTAAATTTATTAGGAACAAAATAAATTCTAGCAATGGTATAAGCATATTATTAGATGGAGATCGTCAAACTGATAATTATGCTGATATTGCAGAAGTGTTCAAAATATTTCTGTTCTGTATTTGAAAAGAAGTGGGATGATGTACTCGTAGCATATAAAGATGATGAAATACTTTCCAGTCCATTTGTAGCCAAGGAAGATGTTAAACAACAAGCACTAGGGATAACACAAGAGATATTGCACCCAGTCAGGAGGCCCAGATAACTTGAACCCAAGAGTCATCTCTGGCCCACTGATATTAATTTTTAATTAACACACAATTGGAATTCAATTGACTTGTACTGTCAATTACTTGGAATACTGGGAAAATTCCAGGAGACTCGAAGAGTGCTAATGTTGTGTCAATATTCAAAAAAGGGCAATTGGGATGATCCAGGTAACTCTAGGCTGGATGCCCTGACATCAATCCCAAGCAAAATAATGGAAAACCTGTTATAGAATTCAATGAATAGACAACATGGTTTTTATGGAAAATAGTTCCTGTCAAACAAATCTAATTTCATTCATTGAGATTACAGCTTTAGTTGATAAAGGTAACTGCATAGATTTAATATGATTACACTTTTGTAAGGCATTTCATGTAGTACCACACAACATTCTGACTAAAAAATTTGCACTGCCTAATATCAGTAAAACACATTAAATGGATTAAGACCTGGCAGATCTGGGTTCTAGTGGGGTTGTGCAATGATTGGAAAATAAATTTAAAATCACTGCTGATTAAAAATTGCAGCTGACACAAAGACTGGTGGAATGGCAGATAATGATGAGGACAGGACAAAATGTGTTCTACTATGGCCAAAGGCAAAGTTACACATATAGGAATAAGGAATGTAGGCCACACCTACCGAATGAGGGATTGTAGCCTGGGAAGCAGGAATCTACCTGGGAATGCTAACATGGTGACTCTTGTGGTCTTGAGGCAGCAGAAATGAGCTGTGTCATCTCAGAATGTAGGGCTCGAAGAGACTTCAAGAGGCCCCTAATCCTTTCCCCTTGCACTGAGGCAGGATCAAATGTACCTAGAGCATCTATGACAGATGTTTGTCCAACCTGTTCTTAAAACCCTCCAATGACAGAGATTCCACAACCTTCTGTGTCCCAGTGCTTCACCATCCTTAGTTAGAAAATGTTTCCTAATATCTAACCTAAATCTCTGTTACGGCAAACTAATCATAGAATTGGAATGGACTTCAAGAGGTCATCTAGTCCAGTCCGCTGCACTCAAGGCAGGACTAAGTATTATCTAGACCATCCCTGAGAGGTGTTTGTCTAACCTGCTCTTTAACATCTCCAGTGATGGAGATTCTACAACTTCCCTAGGCAATTTATTCCAATTTATAACCACTCTGACAGGAAGTTTTTCCTAATGTCCAACTTAAACTGCCCTTGCTGCAATTTAAGCCCCTGCTTCTTGTCCTATCCTCAAAGGTTAAGAAGAACAATTTTTCTCTCTCCTTGTAACAACCTTTTATGTACTTGAAAACTGTTATCATGTCACCTCCCAGCCTTCTCTTCTCCAGACTAAATGAACCCAATTTTTTCAATCTTCCCTCATAGGTCATGTTTTCTAGACCTTTAATCATTTTTGTTGCTCTTCTCTGGACTTTCTCCAATTGGTCCACATCTTTCCTGAAATGTGACGCCCAGAACTGGACACAATACTCCAGTTGAAGCCTAATCAGCGCGGGGTAGAGTGGAGGAATTACTTCTCGTGTCTTGCTTATAATACTCCTGCTAATACATCCCAGAATGATGTTTGCTTTTTTTTGCAACGGCCTTACACTGTTGACTCATATTTAGCTTGTGACCCCCAGATCCCTTTCCACAGTACTCCTTCCTAGGCAGTCATTTCCTATTCTGAATGTGTGCAATTGACTGTTCCTTCCTAAGTAGAGTACTTTGCATTTGTCCTTATTGAATTTCATCCTGTTTACTTCAGACCATTTCTCCAGTTTGTCCAGATCATTTTGAATTTTAATCCTATCCTCCAAAGCACTTGCAACTCCTCCCAGCTTGGTATCGTCCGCAAACTTTGTAAGTGTACTCTCTATGCCATTATCTAAATCATTGATGAAGATATTGAACAGAACCAGACCCAGAACCGATCCCTCTGGGACCCCACTTGTTATGTCCTTCCAACATGACTGTGAACCAACGATAACTACTGTCTAGGAATGATTTTCCAACCAGTTATGCACCCACCTTATAGTAGCTCCACCTAGGTTGTATTTCCCTAGTTTGTTTATGAGAAGATCATGTGAGACAGTATCAGAAGATACTTGACCATTCCTGATGTAGTCTACAATATTCTGTTAATATGCTTGTGATTCCACAATATTAAGTGGAAGAAGGAGAGTTATGCTGCAGAATTGAGACTTGCAATCAGCTTGGGAGATCTGAAATGCCTCAGATGTGCACAGAAGGATGGCGTGGTGATTAAAGGAGTGGAATGGGATTCAAATTACCTTCGGCAAGTCACATCCCCTCTCCATGCCTCAGTTTCCCATATGTAAAATGGAGATAAGACTCCCTTCATCTATTTAGATTGTAAACTCTGGTGGAGGGGCTGTCCTCTGTTACTATGCATGCACAGTGTCTGCCACAATGGGGCTCCAATCTCAGTTGAGATCTCTAGATGCAATTTTATTACAAATTAGAATTTTAATAATATTTTTTTCAGTTAAAAGAAAAAAGTAGACCTGGCGCCCAGGACTGCGTCAATTCTAAAAGCGGCAAAAACCAAAATAAAAATCAAGAATGTGTTTCATGCTTGAAACTTCCTACCCTCAGAAAAACGGTCCACATTGCAGCTTTATTGGATTTGTGCTATCCCCTTAGGTCCTACGCTCCCAGCGTGAGTTCATTAGTTCAGCTCAGTTTTCCTTTATATGAAGGTATCTTCTCTCAGTCCCGAGCTGCAGACGGAAGACGCTTACACAGAGAGACAGAGGCACGGAACCCAAGAGGAGACAGCAGAAGCCCAGGGAGAAGAGACAGGAGGCGAGCGTCAAGCCTGCAAGACGAAGGAAATGGATCCAAATGAGAGAGGCGCGTTGAATGACTTGTGGCGTGGTCTGGCCCTGGAGATCAAACACAGACGCGGTCCTCGCAAAGTTGAAATGAATTGTGTTGGGGTTTGGATTACGGTCACAAGGATGATTGTTTTCCAAAATGATCCCTTGCTTTACTGCTCTCGCTGGCTGAGTCGCCTTGTTTGTCGCAGGCAACAAAATGCTGGATTGATTTGCTGCTGCTTTTTCCAGTCCAGTCTTCTCATGCTTGGCAGTAGGTTGGCACCTGCGGTTAGTCCCTTTGCAATGGCCAGGCAAAGCTATAACTCACTGCCCCTATTTTAGAATGGTCACGGCAGCCAAAGTTGGAGTCTTTTGCAACTATCGTGTGTGTGGGGTCTCCGCCGTGCTATGGTCCCAAACTCTATCTTCAAATGGTCCCGGCTCGTCTGCAGCTGCCCCTGGGCTCAGGCAAGTGCTGTAGGTGCCCCCGCTGCTTAAGGTTCTAGCAGCTGATGGGGGGCCGCCACACTTCTCTCAAGGTTACCCTGACAATGTGACCCATTTCTCCCCAACTGCCCTTCCACCTGGCCACCTCCCTCCCTCCCCAGCCCAGGGAGAAAAGCAGCAGCAGGTTCCCCTTTAAAAGGTTCCCCCCTTAGCAGATTCCCCCCTGCACACTGCCCACTGAAGCCCCATTGCTACTCAGCAGATTCATCGCATGTTTCTCGGCGTGTCCCTCTAAGAAAGGCAGGACCGGGGAGACTCCCCAAAGCATGGCTCCCTCCCCTGCCTCCCTTTATAAGAGCCCGTTTACAGCCTGGCCTCTCCTTGATGTTAACCCAGAAAGTGTTCCCCAGCCCACCAAGCGGCCTGAGGGGCACTTTAAACCAAGGTGCCCAATGGGAACGGGAGGGGTGGAGGACTTACCCCTTTCTCTGCATCACATTGTGGTGCCCTCACTTAAATTGATTAGTCCCAGGCCTGCTCGTCGAGTAAGGTGCTGTGCAATGGGCCGGATGCTCATCTGGTGTAAATTCATATAGCTCCATTGGCTGAAGATCTGCTGGTAGGTTCTAGCCCTCTGTTATGTGTTAACTTCCTAACCTAACTGGGCCATTTGAATGCTAACATGATTGAGGGCAGGCGATTTCTTTATCTTTGTTTGGGGTTTTTTTGTAGATTCTAAGGCCAGAAGGAATCACTGTGATCATCTAGGCTGACCCCCTGTATAACACGGGCCATAGAACCTCTCTGAATTCATTCCCATTTGAACTAATCATTTAGAAAAACATCCAATCTCGATGTAAAGGTGTCCAATGATGGAGAGTCCACCACAACCCTGGCGGTAAGTTGATCCAATGATTAATTCCTCTCTCTGTTATAAATATGTGCCTTATTTCTCAACTGATTTTGTCACGCTTCACAGCTGCTGGAGCATAGAATCATAGACTATCAGGGTTGGAAGGGACCTCAGGAGGTCATCTAGTCCAATCCCCTGCTCAAAGCAGGACCAATCCCCAATCTTGTTGTTCCTGTGTTTGTTAGACTGAAGAGCTCTTTATTATCAACATATTTGCTTCCCAGAAAAACACCAAGGAAATTAAATGTAAAAACCACCCCGTCAATGTCAGTGCATCTTAAGGCTGAGATTTTTCAAAGGAGGATGTGGGAGGAATTAAGCACCCAAATCCCATGGGATTTCAGTGGGATCTGCGCACCTAATTCCCGGAGGTTCCTTTGAAAATCCCAGTCTACTTTGGCAGCCTTGAACTTCAGTGAATTTAATTTATTTTTTTGCATTTCCTACTTGAATATATTTATAGTTTGCAACACAGCGAGTTACTTGTGTAGATCCCCTACCACTGAGAGAATAATGTACGTAGTCATTTCTGAATGTCTGTTTTTCTTCCCTTTTTAATTTAAAGCCTGCTGTTAAGAATTAAAAATGACTTCTTGGAATATAGTTATTTGCTTGGAAGCAATAAAACTCCGTTAGCCTTCAGATTCTATATAGGCTTCCAGTTTTTTATCACCACTCTGACTACTGTCCAGAGCCTTGGAGTTTATTATGGATCTCTTTGCATTTCATTTGTGGTTGTCTGGACTCTATTAGTGATTAACTCTGTGTGCTTCCATCTCCTTAATAATGCCAGGGGCCTCTCTGACTCCTCTTCTCCATGCCTGGAGGCTCATCAGCTCTGATCCAGGACCTGCTCACAGATGAACAGAACAATCATCAGCATCCTCTGTCTGTTTCATTCATCCACTCATGGTTGTCATCTCACCGGGCCGGCTCCAGGCACCAGCTGAGCAGGTAGATGCTTGGGGCGGCCAAGGGGAAGGGGCAGCACGTCGGGCTCTTTGGCGGCGGGTCCCTCTCGGAGGGAAGGACCTGCCACTGAATTGCCGCCGAAGAAGAAAGCGGCGCTGTGGAGCTACCGCCGATTGTGATCGCGGCTTTTTTTTTTTTTCCGCCGCTTGGAGTGGCAAAAACCCCGGAGCCGGCCCTGTCATCTCATCAGCCTCCTTGGAGCGAGGTGTAAGAAGCTGGGGATAAACAAATGAAACAAGACAGGAACTCTGACAGGAAGTGAATAGTGAAGAGCAGGGAGGATTGGTTTACACTGGGATGGCAGGATCTACCATTAAAGAAACCAAACTGAACCAAGGGGAGTTGTACAGCATTTGAGCTTGCCCAGAACATGGTTTGGCCTACGGCTGTCCTTAGTTTGAACAAGGTGGGCTATTGCTGGAGTTGTAATGTTTGATACTGCCATCCCTTCACTGTGTCAATCTCCTTATGGACATGCCGGCGATTCTTGGGAGGGGAGCAATTTTTGCAGCCGTGTGCAAAAATAGTCAGCTAAAGGACAAAGCACAGAATGGTCCAGAAAAGCCAGTGCATTATTTGTTCTTGAATGATTATCTTAGGGCTGGTCTACACTTTGGGTGGGGGGGTGTCGATGTAAGATACGCAACTTCAGCTATGGGAATAGCATAGCTGGAGTTGACGTATCTGATTTTGACTTACCTCCCGTCCTCACGGCACGGGATCGACTCTGGGTGGAGTTCCGGAGTCGACGGGAGCGCGATATATTGATCCCCGATAGATTGATCGCTACCCGCCGATTTGGCAGGTAGTCTGGACGTACCCTTAGTGTGAATGACCAAACAACCACAACCCTGCTATGGTACCGAGATTTGGGTATCCCCATCACTTTAAAATTTAGGGCCAGATCAGCAGATGACATGAATCAGAGTAGCTCCATTGGGTGAACTCCCAGTTTCCCCCAGCTGGGGCCCTGCCCCAGTATTGCTACTGCATTTTACTACATATAATCTGACCTCCAGCCTGCAGAATTAGCAGAAGTGAAAGTTCTCTCCCAAAGATCAGGTCGATGGCAAGCCAGAGGCAAGAGGAAAGGTAGGAGATTCTGATGACAAAGGGAAGGGACGTGAGCAGAGAGGTAAGTGAAACAGAGCAATAATGTAATTTATTTCCTCAGTTATATTATAGTGGTATCAGTAGCAGACTAATGGCCGTATGGTTCCAGATAAAACATGGAATACAGTTTCTAGTGTCTGCTATGAAGATGTAACTGTTATTCCCTTTGGCAAGTCAATTCCTTTTGTATCTCATGTCTCCACCTGCAACAGGGCTTCAGACTCCCCCCACCAATATCAGTCTAATTTTAAAAGTCAAGCAAATCTGTGCCTGCATGTTGAGTCTTTTGCTCTTTAGCCAACAAATACAAATATGCAGAAACCACGTGGGCTCAGCGAGGTGCCAAAGAACAGTGCTTACTAACTGTCCACAAACATACTAGGCCTTGCTGAGTGATAAAGCTCAGTGGCTCATGAGCCAAATTCGCAATCAGCATTACCCAAAAGAGGCACAGTGGTGTGAAATCAGAGTAAAAGCAACCTGATTGGTTAATAACTTAGAGGGGTTAATAATTAAATCAGGCAGTGTTTTAATATCACGTGCTGCAAAGAGCCGCAGGAGATGCATTAAAGAGCCACTTGCACTCCCGAGCCTCGGTCTGAGTATCACTGGCCTAGCTATATACACATGGCTGCTCTAGTACTTTCTGGCAGCTTCTTTAACTTAGAACACAGTGAGCACCACTAGAGGGCTCACAAACTATGTAAAGGGATACAACCCTATTCCTATAAACTACCCCGCAAAACTGATACATCAGGCCGACAAGGGGCTTGCTTCTGATCTCACTAATACTGCTGTAAATCAGGCATAACGACATTGAAGTCAATGCCCAGCTAGCGTTAAATCAATCAGGCCTCAAATTCCTGGCCCGTGTTAATAAAAACACCTGTGGCCATCAGCATTTAGATGATTGTTTACTTCTGATTCACATCTTGAGCGCCTGTACAATCTACTGCAAACGGCGCCCCCTTCTGTTGAGAAGGGGGCGGAGCCTGGCCTGTGGGCGGGCCATAAGGAGTACCATCACTTTTTGTTTTCCAATCTGAGCCCAGGTTTGGGGGGGATGATGACTGGAATAGTATAGAATCACTGACCCCGTCAGGCATCATATGTCAGAGGATCTATGTAATGTGTCTGATTCCTTCCGCCTTTCTGTTACATTATGACATCAAACGTACACAACGGCTATAGAATTCTTCCCTAGCAAATAGCACGGGCTCTCCAGACTATGCCATGCTTGTGCAGACCGCCAAGCACTAATTCTGCAATCTCTTTCTCTCATACCAACAAACATCCAATTAAAATGTGCAGTTACCATGGTTTCTTCAGCACCAACCCAGGTAGCTTATCTGTGAAGCGGAGTTTCGTGAAGTGTATTTTCTCATTAGAAAATGTATTCGTTAGGTGGCTGCTCCTTCAAAATGTTCCATCCAGTCCAGTTTTTTGCCTGTTTATTCCTTGAGTGTTCTAACTCAATGCACGCACAAATGTCCTGAAACGGAAGGGCCTGTGAAGAACTTGATGTGACAGATTTTTTTAGCTGACATTAAGCAAACAGAGATGAGGGCTGGGGACAAGGAATGTCCATTACTAGGCGGGGTGATGATCTGTATAAACACAAGAAGTTCCTGCAGAAAAAGATGGGTTTTATTGCATTCTCTTTCAATTCACTCCTCCTCCCCTCCCCCCCACTCCCACGTAAAAGTAAATTTCAGACTATTTTACAATGCAACATGGATTTTGGGGTCAGAGTTTAAAATTAATATACAGGTTAGGAACTCTTATGATTTGCTCATTGAAAGTTTCAAAGCTCTTCTTTTACAGCCAGTAACAGATTATAACCCTGGAGACAACTAGGTCAGACTTGTTCATTAGGGTAAGATTTCAATTTGAAATTCAAACGTATAGCACCACTTGTGTGCTACAAGGCCACTACCAAGATTTTTAGGTTGTGAGACAAGATGTAGAAATGAGGTTTCCTAGCCACCAAATCCAGACTGCCTGCCTGTCTGTCTGTCTCTATCTATCTATCTGAGCTCTCCAGTGCTGTGATTTCATTTCCGATTCTCGCCCTTCCCCCATTTGCTGCACCGTCCAGCTCTCTCTCCTCACCATGTTTCCCCCTCTTTGCTATTATTTCCAGCCTTCCCTTCCTCCCCT